AAAATTCACACACCACGCCAGTAATCATCTACAATAATCAAAAAATATGATACACCACAAGACGAAGTTGTTCGATAAGGTTCCAACAAATCACAATGAATCAACTCAAAAATGCTAGAAACTTTATTATTACTCAAATGAAATTTGTCTCTTGTGTTGTTTAGCCCAATGACATACATTGCAACTTTTATTCAAAATATCACTATTTTTCCTAAAACCTATGACAAGAATTAATTTGGTCACTTGTAAAGAGGGATGACCCAAACGCTTGTGCCAATGATCCTGCAAGTCCATACCACCAACCTTAAGAACACATATCCTCTATTTGTTCCATAAATAGTAGAGTCCATCTTTCCGCTCACCCGCTCCAACCAGCATCCTCGAGGTGCGTTCTTGTATAATATATAAAAAAGTTTACTAAAAAGGACCAAACAATCTGAGTAATCAATTAATTAAGATACAAAAATCAAGTTGCATATTAAGTTGGACACATAAAGAATATTTTTTCGAACCAAATTTCCTTCAAGTTTCGTTGAACCTCACTGGCCGCTACAACATTACTTCCATCAGGAAAACTAATACTCTCTCAGTTTCAATTTATGTGAACCTGTTTGACTGGGCACGGAGTTTAAGAAAAAATAAAGACTTTTGGAATTTGTGGTCCTAAACAATTCAAAAGGGGGCCCAGAGTATTTGTGTGATTATAAAAGCTTCTCATTATTGGTAGAATTATAAGTTTAAGCAAAATTATTTCTAAATTTAGAAAGGGGTCAATCTTTTTGGAACAGACCAAAAAGAAAATAGGTTTACATAAACTGGAACGGAGGTAGTAGGACATTGCTCAAATTTTCGCATATTAATTATACAATAATTTTAAACATCCTATCATATGATTCGTCGCTTCTATATCGATGATCCAAGATACATAATTTTGCTTACCGTGCTTACCGGTCATCTTTTCATTCAAACTTATTTGTTGGTTATTCAATATAGCAATCAACGTCTGCCACTGCTCATTGCTCAACACCGGCGGCCCAGCCTTTTCTGCCCCTATCAGAGCTGCAGAGACGCCATCTCCCGTGGCCTGTGCAGCATTCGCATGATACACAATTCCATCTCTCTGATGTTGTAGTTTTCCTCTACCGCGTCCACCTGATTTACCATCACCACGAGGTCTGTCTCCCCACTATTCTGGATATCCAATAAGTTAGAAGCAACTTTTTGAATCATGTCTAGTTCGCTTGCAGTAGGAGCACATATTTTTGTCCCTCACTTCATTCCGACCTCTATAGGGGGATGTCCCTTGTAAAACAAAGGCCATAGCATTGCCACATTCATCTGTTCCTCGAGCCATCGTCTTCACACGTTCATCTTGAACCAACTTCGAGTAAACTCGATTCAAAGTTGGCAATGGATTTTGAGTGAGCAAGTTTGACCTTACTGTTCCATATAGTGTTTCATCTAACCCCAATAGAAAAAGGTGTACCTTCTCCTCTTCCCTTTTCCTTTCCAATATTGCACAAAGATAGCATGTGCATTTACCACACGTGCAAGTTGGTATTTGATCAAAATTAGCAAGTTCTTCCCAGGGTTTTGTTAATTTTTCAGAGTAATTAACTATGGTCATGCCCTTTTGTTTGCACTCTACAAGTTCGCCCTTCAACTGTTGTATTCTTGGACCATTAGAGACCGAGAATTGTTCTTTAATACTGGTCCATAAATCTTCAGCAACTTTTATGTGTGGTATAGACGAAGCAAAGTAGGCTCAATAGCATTCCGAATCCAAGAAACCCACAAAGAGTTATGGTCCACCAATCTTCAAAATCTGGAGACTTATCATCCGGTCTCCTGATTGTTCCGTCAATAAATCGAACTTCTTCCTCGCTCTCAAGGCAGTTCTCATGGACTTTGCCCATTCATCATAATTTTTTCCCTTTTGAGCCACATGTGTTATCAAAATTCCGGGATTGTCATAGATGTTATATCATACGGAGAGATGGTCTTTCACTGTTTGTTTCGTCACCACCACCGCTCCCACCGGCAGCGGTGATGTCTTTACCCTATCCCCTGCCATTGGTACGTCACTCCGAGTTTCTTATGATTTGGCTCAACCTTGGCTCTGATACCATGCCATACACGCAAACACACAGTGGCCAAGTGTGAAGGAGAAATGCTTGCCTTCTTCTATTGATTAACAAGAATATATATATGTCAAGTAGTATACCCCGGTCCTAACAAATATGGAGAACTAGTCCTAAGAATTATGGAAAAGAAAGAAAAACTCTCGTAGTCCTAAACATACATAACATATACTTACTATCCATATATACACCCTTTATATGCTAAACAATATACACACGCTTTAATAGTCTTCATATCTTTGTTTGTTAAATCATTGAGGTTCGTTTATCTTGCCTCCTTGATTGAATCGTAATCTCAAACTTTTTATAACAGATGGTTTGCAACACAACTCATTTTGGTCCAATGTGGCAATAAATAATGTAGGGATAGTTTGAACAAATAGGCTATTTCCACGACACTGTGTAAGTTTTAATCCTGTTTAAATAAGTGTAGCAAATTGCGGGTCAGAACTTGGCCGCAAGTCTTAGCAGATCAAAAGAAGTTTTGATGGATGGTCGAAGACTTGGCTTTCCACGAATCCTGGCAGATCGTCAAAACTTTAGTATAGATTGTATAGTAACTTTAGAACAATATTTTAACTTGTGTTTATTATAAGTCCTCAAATAGGGATGATATATACAACCAAAGACCTTGAGAAATTGATAGTTAGGAGAAGGAGAAGTATTGTTTTGAGTTGGTGTAGACTCCAATTGATGAGGTATACAGCTGAGAGAAAGGCTTCATCAAAAAATGTAAGGGCAAAGAAACATTGGCTTAAGAGTGTTAGGTCGGTTCCTACATTGTTATGATGCTTTCTTTCATTATTACTGTTTTGTTCATGTTGTGTTTGGAGACAATAAACTTGATGAGTGATATCCATTTCTGAAGTAATTTTGAGCACTTTCTGCATTCACCACCTTAAGCAGGTTGAATTAAATGATATGATCTTCCTTTTAAAAAATGTTTCAATACCTGATTCCTAAACTGAAGAAAGGCATCTATGAATTTGTGTTTGGGCTTAATAGGATAGAGCCAAGTGTATTTTCTAAGATCATTAACAAATGAAGCATACTAATGAAATTTATAGCATGCAAGATAAGGGGCAGGACCAATGCATCTGAATAAACTAAATCTAGAGGATTTATAGAAATTGAACTAAATCTAGAGAAAGGTAAATTGTGAATTTTTCCATAATGGTAAGAAGAATAGATACTTACTTGAAATTCTAAAGACATGTAGATGATGTTTATTCACTACGTGTCTAATTACAATGTTTATCGAAGGGTGTCCTAAACGACTACGCCATAAATCTATGGAAGATTTTAACGTACGAAGACCTTGATGTTGAGGAGAATAGGCTTAGCCGGACTTGCTCATGTCCTTTGCAATAGAACCTTATGTGTTGCTTGATCCTTCACAAAGCAAACATGAGGATGAAATTCAAAGTAAACATTGTTATCAACAGTAAACTAAGCCACTCTTAACAAATTTCTTTGTATACTTGGGAATATATAAACTATTTATTGTTGAGCGGGGTCGAAAAGAAGTAGGCAAAGTAAAATCACCACTGTGAGCTATTTGTAAAATTGTGCCATTCCCTACATGAAATTTTAGTACTAGAATATCCGCTAATGTTCATATTGTTGAGACCATTTATGAGTTGGTCCTAGCACCTGAATCTGACCAAAAAGGATCAACAAGAGTTATTGCTTGTTTCCGGCTTGAAAGGCATGATAAAACCCTATGGTAACAGTTTGCAGCAATGACCAAACTTGTTACATACTTAGCATTGGATTATGGATGTTTGTTGATGTCGTTGACCATCTTTTCCAAGACCTCAGCTCGTTTATTCATCCATTAATTATTAATATTGATAGAAAACCCTCTTCTTGACTCGTTTTATTTTGATTAGTAATGGTTTATTCTGTGACATTAGCTTACTCTAAGTTTGATAGGCTCTGCCTGAGAGATGAGGGTATCTTATTAAGGCCCTAGACTACAAAGTATGTAGAGAATCAAGTCATCTTCTAAACTTACAAGAGATACTCAAGCAGAGATTGAACTCTACAGGGTTTATCTCTAAAAACCTATATCAAAGATACACTATTAGTTGATAAACTAAATAATGAAGTCTAATAATTCAAAGAAGAAACTAGAGGGGTGGGGGAATTAGTAGAGGGTATCTTGGTGTGTGTGTATATAGATATACATGGATTACAACGTGTACAAGCATTCATGTTTATTGATCACTCTTCTTGAAATAACTTTATATGCTACTATGAAGCGTTCAATGTTGGAGCACCGTGACGGGGACTAGTAGTTTAATTGAACTTCCCCTCATCTCCTCCCCCGCCTCATCCCCATCCCCTCCAAAAAAAAAAAGAAAAAAAAAAAGAAGAGATGAAAAAATTAGAGGAAAAAGAAAAAGATAATAGTTTGGCATGCACGAGTTTGTGATTGTTTTATGGCCATGGTTATTTTCATTTTGCCTCCCTTCACGTAATACATATATACATATATATATATATATATCCAATCCTTGCCAACAAGAAGAGTTGCCTCTAGTTATGTTACACGGGTTCGGTTAGGTTAGGGGTATGTATCTGGTACGAGTATGTGCAAGGATCTAGGAACGGCCAACGGGTATGTCAAGGTTTTTTGCTAATTTTGAAAACGATTCATTCGAATAATCCACACGTCAAGGCATATGAAAAATCGGTTTGACATAGGCTTCTAGCATTGATGTATATGATTCCTTAAAACATATTTTTGAAAGTACTTTTTTGGTCTTCTATTATGTGCTCTAAAAGGAAGCCAAGGAGAAAAAATAAAAGGTAAAAAGAAGCTGATTGCGTTAGTGTTTTTCTGGAGAAATGCAGCATGCAGGAGATTATGGAGCGTTACCGGAAGCATAATGAAGATGTTCAGGGAGAAAAACAACCTGTGGAACATAATAATATGCAGGTTTGGTCTTTCTTTAGTGTCTTCTCATGAGCAATTATATTAATGTCTTGCAAAACTTTCTAATGGTTCAGCCTACATTACATAAAAAAAAGCAGAATTTGAAGCATGAAACAACAACCTTGATGAAGAAGATCGAGCTTCTTGAAACATCTAAAAGGTTTCCTCCTACTCTAGTTGTTTTATTTGTGTGTTTGGTATGACGGTTTTTCAAGAAAATATATTTTTCATGAGAAAGTCATTTTCTGATGTTTGATTGTTTTAAGGAAAATATTTTCCATCAAAAGAGATAAAATAACTTCCGTCACTTATGGGTGAAAGTTATTTTTTTGAACTACCTTAATTTTTAAGTTCATGTTACTTGTTCAACTAACACTTAGACGTTGTTAATTATTAATCTTTTAGTACTCAAAAGTCATTTTTCATGATTTTAAAATATTATCAAGAATGAGAAAATATTTTTCATGAAAAATGACTTTTGTTATATCAAACAAATAAATTCCAGTATGTTTGAAGTCCTTCCAACATAAATTAATATTCCATTTCCATTAGGAAGCTCTTGGGAGAAGGTTTAGGATCCTGCAGTTTTACAGAACTACAACAGATAGAGCATCAGTTGGAACAGAGTCTCAACGTTATCCGTGCAAGAAAGGTTTCTTCATAAAACATCATGCAGTGGTCTATTTTAAGACAAAATGCAAACATACTACAATCACGTAGTATATATGTTAGCAATATATCTATATCTCTCTCTCTATATATACATGTATATATAGCTCAGCAAAACTTGACATATCCTTTTCTTGTTTGTATTCAGATGGAAGTCTTTAGGGAACAGATTGGGAGATTGAAAGAAAACGTAAGGCCACAGTGACTCATGATTTATTTCAAGTTGCAATTCCCATGAACAAGTTCTTGAATACAAAATGGAACCTCATGCATATATAAATTGTAGCGGCGTGAGTTTATGTTATAGCTAGCAGGTTATTAATCTATTTTTATCAAAATTGATATGATTGTTGTAGTTCAATTAAAACCAAATGGTTTTAAAATTCTATACACTATCTGTGCATAAAATGTAATAGCACATCTTATTTCAAACAATGCTGCGTGAAGAATTTATTAGTACTAATTGTTTGTCTCATGCTTTTCTATCTCTTAAATAAATCCAGGTGAAAGACCTTTCATCTGAAAATGCAATGTTGGAGAAGGTACTTTTTTTCCCTTAGCCTGAATGTTTAGATTACTTAAAGATGGAAACTTTTAAAGGTAAGAAGGAGATCAAGAGAACTACTGTTGTCTTGATCAAAATACCCTATGTAGGAGTCTTTTCAATTATACTCCATACAACAATGATTAATTAGTAGTATGATGTTTTCCTTTAGTATATGCTACAGATTTTGGGAATCAATATCATATAAGAGAATGTCCAGAACATGGTTGGTAAATTTCTTATGTATTTGAAAACAACTCGCATGAAAAATATATGGATCTGCCATAACTCATTTGATCTATTTGGTTCGAAATCATTGATTTGTACTTATTTAGTAAATTTTTAACACATATAAAGTCTGAGCCGAAGCTACTGAGTTCATCTGACTATATATATTACTCTATATAATCCGGTCCTGGTTATATTGCATTGAAATATCATATAGGTTTACATACAGCTTCAAGATTGTTTCCTTCTTCACATTTTAATTGAGAAAAGGAAACTATATAATTGCCTTGCCCTTTTGTTTTAGTTTGATGATCTTGAACAGCCAAAAGCATCAAGTGCGGAAGATCAGGGAGAAGACCTTTCAATAGAAGGTAGTGAAAAATCGGATGTAGAGACTGAATTATTTATTGGACTACCAGAATGCAGAACGAAGCGCGCCCTACAGAATTGATAAGTGAATTGTCCCTCTTATGCAGTTATACATACATAACGTCCGGGTTAAAATACACTGATAGTATAAAAAATTCTTTATATTGTCAGTGAATATCAATTAAATACATATGTAACAATAAGTTGAGAATTAAATAGTCCTCCATCTAACTCAGGAGTGCTTGTTCTCTTGGTGCGCCGCTGATGGTACTTCAATTACTCCTAATATATTCTGTTTTTTACTTGGATATATACTACAGTTCCCTAAATACTCTACACAGCTCTTCAACACCTTGCGAATTTGAAGACTTGTTTTCAGATATTTCTGACTAGAAAGAACCCTTAAGAGGATATAGTAAATTTCTTATCTAGTCAGACTTCTCTATAACAGTAGTTCACTGTAACGACCAAGTTTTCTTTGTAATCAATTTTCATGTTATGTTATAATATATATTCTCTATGACAACATTTCATTATAGTAGCCAAAAAATATCGAAACAAACGAGGCTGTTAGAGAGAAGTTTGACGGTATGTTGTTACTGTCTTAGTTGTTGAGGATTTACTATTGGATTAAGAAGAAATAGATGTTGCTTATCAGTCTTTTTGATTTGGTTGGAAATCTTTCATGCAGTTATATCGAGTTCACAAGATTTTCCTCAGGCGAAAAACGCGTAACATGATATTACAAGTGCTACCTTGTCCTAGGCCATTTAACATACAAAATAAGAGGTGAACCGTATTTTATTGTGTTCACTCTCCTATCAAATGATCTGAAGTTGGGGTATAAATATCTACACGCAAAATACAGATCCATAAGTTAAAATTAGTAGGTGCACCTCGTAATATGTATATACATATGTTTAAAAAAAATTATATCTGCTTTTGTTACAGGGATAGCAATGGACTAAATTCCAGTATATATGATAATTTTTACACAAGTACTAGTCATAGAAGGGGTGGAGATTAGGAGGATTTTCTGTGGGTGGGGAGAATTTGATTTGATCAGTTAGCTGTGGCACCATTCAAGATTTTAAGCACTGCTTCTTTTGTAGGCAATGCAGGAATTGCTCCTTTTTCTGTTACAGTTATAGCTCCACAACCATTGGCAAAAAGGAGTGCATTCCTTAGTTTCTTCTCATCCTGTGACAAAAAATTAAAAGACAATTACAAACTTAAGTTTCCTTTTTAAGGATTGAATATTGGAGTTTAATTTATATACACTGACAATATAAATATAAAAGATTTATAAGAGTCGGACCGTAATTACCTGATAAATGTCTGGATCTGAGGCCATACTGTTGAGAAGTCCACCAACAAATGCATCACCTGCTCCTGTGGTATCAACTGCTGTCACTTTAATGCCATTCACTCTCCCATGAAAATTCTGCATTAAGTTATCTAGCTCGTTAATTTTCAAGATTAAATGAAAAAGTGGAAAAACAAAATTAATTTCCACTGGACGTTAGTTGGATCAGAAAATTGAAGTATTTCCTAGAAATCAAACCAAAACATTTCCTGTATAATAAGAAAATAAACACACTTAAGGTTACATGATACCTTAGTATAGTATCTACAACCTTCTCCCCCTTCGGTAACCAGCAAAAGCTTAAGGTTTGGGTGGAAAAGCTTAGTCATCACCACATTGTCATCGTAGGCGTCTTCACCATCTGTCAAGAATGTGATTTCGTCTTCGCTTACCTACAATTTTCATGTCGAGTCACAACAAAAAAACATCAAACGGGAATGCATATATAACTTTAATATTCAACATTGTTACGTTTATGGATTTAAGTTATTTACATTACTGACGATCTCCTAGCGATCATTGAAGTTTATCAATTATAACAGGCTATTTACCGTTTTTATCAAGTAATTACCAATTATCAATTATATATATAAAAAGTTAATTACCTTAATAACGTCGGCTTGGTCCCAAATGCTCAAGATGCCTTTACGAGCAGCATCTGCGGATGGCCATAAGGGCAACCTTAGATTTGGGTCGTAAGAGAGAATGCAGCCTGCCTTTTTGGCAATCTCCATGGCTGCAAGATGAGCTGACCTACACGGCTCCGCAATCAAAGAGATTGACCCATAGTGAAATATTCTTGCCTGCAAATAATGGAACTTATAACTACTATAATTATTAGTAAGAAACAAAATAAAAACACATGTTTGTTTACCTTGTGAATGAGATCTTTGTCCAACTCTGCCTCTGTAAGAAGCATATCAGCACTTGGATTGCGGAAAAACATGAATTCTCTCTCACCATCTGCTCTCAAAGTGACAAATGCTAATGCTGTCCTTGCATGAGTATCGAAACGCATGCCAGAATTGTCGACATGGTTCTCTTTTAATATATCAGCTAACATATAACCAAATTCATCTGCACCCACCTGCAACAGTATATATATAAGAAAATTTAATACAAGTTCAATCGAATGAAAATTTCGTTTTATTGATATAACCAAAAGAAAAAAAATGACCCCATTTATAGGCATAACAAAAATGTAACTTTACACAATTCCTATCAAGAAGATTGCAGAGTATCAGCCAGATATGATTGATCATATATATAAGTATGAGCTTTTTTTATACTATCAGGTCAATAAGATAATTAATTAATGTAGTGATACTAGTAACTTAGAAAATATCGGATAGTAATTAGTTCTAGGAATCTAGGTCAAGTTTCTAACTTGGATGAACATTTAGCCCGAACCTAGCGCGCGACCCCTGTATTTTGTTATGATGCATATTAGCTATTACTAATATTATATACGTACCAAAAATACATAAACATAAATAATATAATAGGTTACATGTTACAACGATAATATTACCTTGCCAATAAAGGCGGAAGAACCTCCTAATCTTGCTATACCAACTGCAACATTAGCTGGAGCTCCACCAGGAGCTTTCTTAAAACCAGGCGCTTCTGCAAGTGAAACTCCAGATACAGTAGGAACGAAGTCAATCAACAACTCCCCGAAACAAACAACCAGGTGATTGTTTTCCTGGTGGTCCCTTTTCTTCATTGATAGACATGTTGGTGAACCTACAATAATTTTGGGAGATGTTACAATGTTAAAAATACCTACAATATTCACTCACAAGATATATATATGCATTTGATGCGAGTATGAGTATGTGAGGATGTTATATAGAAGCGAATCTAAGGCAAACTCCATGTGTTGAACTTAATATATTGCTTTCGGCTCGAATTATATACACATGAAGAAAAACATTTGAGTTGTATACATACAATAATCTAGTGACTCTGATTGCCCGTGAGATAATGTATATTATTGATTCACAAGATAAACCATGTTGTTAATTCTTTCTTTATATCACCCTCTTTATTTATTTATTTATTTGGGGTGGGGGGCAGGGAAAGGGGTCAAGAATAATTAAGAGAGCATTTTTTTATTTGCAAAAAGATGATGATAGATCAAAATCCCGTGGACACCCTCGGTTTACGGCGTGCTTAAGCATGGGAAATTTAAGAGATCAACACAGGAATGATTACATTGATATCAAGCACTGGCCGATCTAACAATGGGTTCACAAATTCGATAAAACCTAGTGTTTCGGGGTCGAATTAATTTTATTTATATTTGTGCGAAACACAAATATAGATAAAATGAAATGTACATTTCAGAAATCAATGTTTCAACTCAGAACTCACCACATCTTTGTTATGAATATAAAAATGAACATGCATGAAATATCAAAGGGTAGGAATACTAATGAAGCTTACAGATAGAGCTCTTGCTTTTATTGAGCTTATTAGAGGAAGAACTCTTAGATAGCTTGAAGCTGCTTTTCATGGATCGGTCAAGGATAACAGGAAAACAACAGGCCAATTTGGACCCCTTTTTACTTGACCGATCCATTTTATTTACATGTAAGGTAGGCTAGGCAGCTATGAAATTCAACTTAAAGGAAACTTCATTCTATATATATAGAGAAATTTGAACCCTACTACGTAGGAAATCTGTTGGTTTTCACAATTCTCATGCTACACCACAAAACTTTCTAATCTCATATGTTTTTTTTTCTCTCTTTTTCTTTACGTGACCAATTACACAAGAAAATGACCGGTTCGTTTGGGTGGATTTTCTTAGGCGAACACTTGCCATTTCTGTCCTAGTTTTTCTACCCCCATCAACGTAGACTTTGATTGTTTTCGCCGCTATAACGACGATTATAGTTATTAATGTCTCATCTTTTACGTATATCCATCTTTGGATGTAAAAGTACTGTTGACCTAAGTAAATGATAGTTTTGAAGATTGACAACGGAACACAGGGATAAACCAGGTTCATCACTGGTAGGCATAGACACGGGCTGATTCAAAGCACGCGAGATGTACATGTAGGAGATAAACGAAATTTGGCATAATAGTAGATATCTCCTGATCGAAAAGATTGCATAAACGATAAGGAGAAGGACTCCTTACTTATTGAGAACATTATCCATAAAGAAGGAGTTAGGAGTTGAGATTAACTAAAACTCTTCCACCAAGAAAGAGTAGCATTAAAGCTCTAGTTGTTTTCTACTCTACTAACTCTATAAATCGCATGATGTTCTCATTCTACAGGTAACACAGAAAAGCAGAAGTTAAACGTGAATTGAGAGCAAAATAGCAAGGCATTTTGCAAGCAGTTCGTGTGTGACTCAAGTGTGTGAACCTGAAGCTACATGAACCAGATAGAAGACCCAGCTCCAAGTGTCTGTCTTTTATTCTAGTTCAATTGTAGTAGGTGTTTTCATATTGTACATTTCAGCTTTATCTAGAGACAATTGTAATAGGTACTCAGAGTATTCAAGTTAGAGTTAACTTGAATTTGTCGCAGCAGTTAGAGGCTGGTTGCCACAACGGGATTAAAGTTAATCCTAAGTTTACAAAAATATTTTGTAAATGCAGTTTTTGACTCAGTGATTTAGTGGAGAGTTTGGGAAAATCCTACTGGGAAGTAGGTC